TTTTATTAAAATATAATTGACACAATACAGACAATTCTCCCGCATCAATTATTATCCCCGTTCACAGCTTAGGGAGCCTACAGAGAAATGGGGCACAGCCAGTGGGCTGGTTCCTGACCTGACACTTCTGGTCATGACAGGAAGCTATATATACCACACCCAGTTAGATACGTGTGCAGGCTACCCATATACATACCCTGACAGTTACATAAGGATAAATGAATATGTTATATGCATAAATATACATATCCAAGAAGACATATCTGCATCATGCACATGCACCCCAAAACTACATTATTGCTGTATAAAATATTGCAGAAGATTCATCAATGGTGGCACATGCCTTTTATCCCAGCACTTAGGAGGCACGGGCAGGTGAATCACTGTGAGTTTAAGCCATAACAAGTTCCAGGAAAACCAGAGCTACATAGAGAGACCCTATCTCGAAAATCCAAATAAATAAATAAACAGACAGGTAAATAATAAATATTCCAGAAGGTCCCTTGACACCAAGCCTGATGGCCTGAGTTTGATTTTCAGAACCATGTGGTGGAAGAGGAGTTGATAAGTGTAGGCTAAGAAATAAGGTAAATACACCCAGGTAGATGTGTGCAACACACACACACACACACACACACACACACACACACACACACATACATATAGACTGACAATGATAAAATACTGCATATTAATGCTCCTGAGTACACATGGTCATGAGTACATGTGCTCTGACCACTATGTAATGCCGTGTACAAATATAGCCAAGTAGGCATGTGAGCACCATATGTACACATGCTCCCATGAGGCACACACAGGGCTGTATAGATTCATTTGCCAGATGATCCCATAGACTTACACAGGAAGGCATCGTGTGGGCTCATTGCTCTAAGCTTATATGGACAGAGCCACTGGTTTGTGCACACAGCCTGGCCCAGCGATAAATACACATGAATACATGTGCACGCATGCCCTAACAAACAGTGCATGCCTCGTCCCACGGCATACACACCTTTCCTCTTTGCTTGGGTTGTGCCCCTCACCTGGGTGGGGCTCAGGTAAGGATGTCTTTTTACCCGCTTGCCCACTGGCCCTGGAGCCTGCCTGCTGCCCGCCTGCTCTGTGCCCCTGCCCAGGCCTGATCTTGTGGACTTCAGCAAACTCACCAAGTCCAACGCCAACTACAACCTGCAGAGAGCTTTCCGCACAGCCGAGCAGCACCTGGGGCTAGCACGTCTGCTGGACCCCGAAGGTGAGCCCCATCTGGTCCCGTCTCTGAACCCCTCCCAACTCCACTGTGAAGATAACTGCATCTCACGTAGTACCACGCCAGAACCCACGGTCATTCCAAACTCCCCTCACTCCTCAAGCCTTCCTCGTCTCCATCCATACCCTTCCCGCTATAGCTTCTCTCCATCCTCACTACACCCCCATCTCATCCCAATGGAACCCCTCCTCTCCTCACCTTTGATTCCATGCCCAACCCCCATTTTCTCTCCAGTCCCAGTTTTAAAGCCAACGCCCTCTCTAGTCAACAGTGTCTTCAGTCCCAACCACAGCATTGCCTCTAACTTCATTCCTTTCTCTGATGTTTAGTACTAGACATTGAACACGGTACCTGGTACTTGTTAAGCGAGTGTTTTTTAACACTGAGTCAGCGCTTAAACCCCTCACAGGTGGATCCTAGGGCAGATGCTCTACTACCAAGAAATACCACCCAGCCCCTCACTGGGGGATTCTAAGCGAGGGCTCTACCCCTGAGCTACCTCTCAGTTTTTTATGTCCTTTTCCCCCCAGAGTCCTTGAGCTTGCCATTCTTTTGCCTCAGCCTTACAAGTGCCTGCCCTACCAGGTCTTGCTTTTTACCTTTACTTCTCTTCCTCTCCCCATCCTCATGTCTGATCTTATATCTATCCCGGCTCACTCTCTGTCTATCCCAGCTCCATTTCTCCCTTCATCCTCTGTGGCAATCCTCAGTGCTCCCCGCACTGTCTTCCCACCCCTGCCTCTGAGATGACAGCAGCTTCCTTTTCTGTGTACAGACTACATGGCTGGGCGGTTGTCACAGTGGTTCCCCTTCATTCTCATACTCTTCTCTTTCGTCCACACACTAATCTTACTGAGGCGCTTTTATTTGTTTCTGCAGTACTGGGGATTAGATCTAGGGTCCTGTGTATGCTGGGCAAGCGCTCTACCACTGAGTCACATCCCAGCCTGTCAAATCTGGGTTTTGTTGGGTTTTTTTTTTTTCGAGACAGGGTTTCTCTGTGTATCCCTTGCTGTCCTGGAACTCACTGTAGACCAGGCTGGACTCAAACTCAAAACAAAGATCCACCTGTCTCTGTGTCTTAAGTGCTGGGATTACAAGTTTGCGCCACCACCACCCAGCACTAAGCCCAGCTTTAACTGTGTTTTATTTATTTCATGTATATGATGCTCTATCTGCATGTACACCTATATGCCAGAAGAGGGCTCAGTATCTCACTACAGATGGTTGTGAGCCACCATGTGGGTTCTGGGAATTGAACTCAGGACCTCTGGAGGAGAAACCAGTCCTCTTAACCACTAAGCCATCTCTCCAACCCTTAACTGCATTTTAAAAAACTGCAAATGAAGGCTCAGAGTATTCACCTACTGTGTCCTAGTTTTATTTCTCTTGTTCTAACTAAACACCCCGACCAAAAGCAACTTAGAGGAGAACGGGTTTATTTTTAGCACACGATTCCAGATTTCCAGCCTATCACTGTGGGGAAGTCAAGGCAGCAGGGACTTACGGCAGCTAGTCACATGATCAATCACTCACTGTGGGGAAGTCAAAGCAGCAGAGACTTACGACACCTAGTCACATGACACCCACAGTCAAAAGAGGAGAGTAGTACACACGTGCCCACTTACTTGTTAGAGCTTTCTCCACTCTTAGACAGTTCAGGCCCCCTGACCTAGGGAATGACACCTCCAACAGTGGGTGGGGCCTGCCTACATCAGTGAACTTATTTAGGACTATCCTTCACAGACACGCGAGCTACCAACTGAAACTGAGCGTCACACCCACCGTAAGCTGAAAAGCAATAAAACAGTCTCAGTAAGTCAATGCTGCCTCCAGTAGCTGTATTCTGCCCTCACTGCCGGAACAAAATAGACGTCCATGGGATCAGGTTCGTGAGGCAGTGGAGATTAAAGTGGGCGGAGTCTAGTGGCACCTGGATGTAATGCTAGCACTTGGGAGACTGGTTCAGGAGAATGAAGGATTGAAAGCCAACCCATGCTTCATAGTGAGACCTTGTTTCAAAAACAAAACCAAACAGGTGTGTGTGTGTGTGCTCGTGTGCACGCATGCGCGCGCGCGTTTGGTGTATGTGTTTAGGTAACAGAATTTGTTGAGTGTCTCATTTGTGGTTATTTTTTTTTAAATAAAAATTTTGTTTCCTTTTTAGGTGTGTGTGTGTCTGTGTGTGAGTGTGTGTGTCTGTGTATGGGTGTGTGAATATGCTTTCAGGTGCCCATGGTGCCAGAAGCATTGGGTGCCCTGGACTGGAGTTAAAGGCGGGTGTGAGCTGTCCTGTGTGGGTTTTGGAAACTGGACTCCAATCCCCTGCAAGAGCAGTGTGCCCTCTTAACCGCTAAGTCATCTCTCTAGCCCCCAGCTCTTCTTTTCTTTGTACCGTTGTTTGAGACGGTCTCCCGTCGCTCTGGCTGACCTCTGACCTGAGCGCTAGGAGGACAGCTGTGTACTGCCACACCTGGATTATTCTTTGTAAGTTTTTTCATGTTCCTGGGAGGCAGGGATCAAGATGGTCATCACTGTAACAGTTGGAGAAACTGAGGCTCAGAGAAGTTAGGGCCAATTCCTACGAACACACAGCAAGTGAGATACTAAGCTGAGATTAAAATATATATACTACCTTTGAAGCCTGAGTCCTTATCATCAAACCTCACGCATCACACACGTGATGAGTGTTCCTTGAGCAGCAGCTGAGTGTGAGGCATGGCAGGGACTGTGGAGAAAAAGGACAGAGCTCAGGTAATGTCGTGGTCACAACTTAATCCCAAGTCCTGATCCCTTCCAAGAAGGAAATGAGAAGCTGTTATGAGGGCTGGGCATGTAGCTGGATGGTTGATTACTTGCCTAGCATGTGCAGGGCTGTGGGTTTAAACACGCACACAGAGAGACACATGCACAGACATGCATAGACACACACACAGACACACACTGAGAAACAGAGACACATACATACAGACATACACACACACAGACACACACAGAGACATACACCAAGACACACAGACACACATATACAGATATACACACAGACACA